AGCAATCAGGTATCTAAGGGAAGTGGAGAGTACAGGTAAAGGACCAGTAAGAGCCCAGGGTTCTAAGGTTCACCAAGGAAGCCTGTTCGGCCAGAATGGAGTAGTTGAGAGACAGTATGGCTCAGAAGCGAAGTCGGAAAAGGCATCAGGTCAGATCTTGGGGACTTGTTGATGTTTATAAGAACTTTGGCTTCGGATCTGAAATAAGTCTTGGCAGAGTTTTAAGCAGAATAGAAACATACTTGTTCCAGGTACATTTTAAGAACAGTGACCCAGGGTGGAGGTGATAGTGTCTTGGATCTGGGTCTTTATGGTTTAGTGTGACATTTTGGATTCTGTGTCTACTTGGAAGGTGGAGCTAGTAGGATTTACTGAGATATTAGATGAAGGATGGGAAAGAAAGAGGAGTTGGCAGTGAACGAGGGGAGGTTGGCCTAATCTACTGGAAAATAAGATAGCCATAAATGGAGATGGTGCAAGAAGCTGAGTGGAACATTTTAAGGATAGATCAGAGACTAATTTTAGGTTGGATTGAGATATTTTTAGGCAACCAGGTGGAGACAGGAGATGTCCAGTAGGCAATTATATGTATAAGTCTGAAGTTCAGATTTCTATAAATTTTAGAACATATTTAGAATAGTATTTAAAACAATGAGATTAGAATGAGTGTAGATAAAGAAGAGAAGAAATGTAGAACTGGTTTGAAGCATTTCACTGTTAAAATATCCTGAAGGACTAGGGATGTGGCTCAGTGGTAGAGCCCTTGCCTGGCTCCTGGGTCCCATCTCCTAGTAATGAGGAAGGACAGCAAAGGAGACTGAAAGGAGGTGACCAGTGGACAGTGGATAAAATACCATAGTGTCCTGAAATTCAGGAGAAGGTTTTCAAAGGAATGTGAATGCCTCAGTGTCTCAGGTGCTGCTAGTAACTAAAATAAGAACTAATGATCCAATGCTGAATGTGGCAACCTGGAAGTGAGACAAAATAATTTCAGAGAAGAAAGAATGGTGTCAAGATTGGAGCAGATTCAGTGAAAATGGGAGGAAAGGAATTGGAAAGAGCAAGTATAGACAATCTTCAGGAAATTGTCTATAAAGAAGAAAGAGAAATGGAAAGGAAGGAGGTAGAGGAGAGAGTTCACAACAGTTTTTGTTTTTAAGATGAGAATAGTTAAGAATGATTCAGGAGGGGAATGGTTTGATGAAGATGGGGAGCACTGCTAAAGAAATACCTTGAGGTAGGTGAGGAAGGCTGGGATCTAATGGAGTGGTTGGCTTCAGGATCGCAGGCAGTTTATCATATTAAGGACAGAGGTTCAGATTATGGATACATCAATAGCAGGAAGATGTAGAAGGTAGGCACTAGCAGAGATTTTCTGATTTCTTCATGTTTCTCAGAGCAACAGAAAATAAGGCCATTGGCTGAGAGTGAGGATGAAAGAGAAAATCTGAGAGGTTGGAGGAGGAATTAGAGAACAATTATCCAGAAGAAGGTTAGCCAAATAGACCAATATGATAACGTGTGAGTTCTTTTTTAACTAGCCTTTTTATCTTTTTATTAGTATATACTGATTATGCAGAACACTGAACATATGAGTTCTTGATAGTCACTCAGATGGTATTTTCTTTCTGATTTTTTTTTTACTTCTTTCATTTTCCCGCTGATATCTCCAGCCTAATGCCAGCGTGCTCAGTAAGTACTTAATTACAGAACTGGAGTCATTTGTAGCTAACCCACTGTTGTACTTAAACACCTCATCTGTTTATTGTACTTACTCATAGTGGCCACATGGATGGACATTTAGAGCCACAGAGGGATGAGAGCAGCAAGAGAGTGAGAGGGAGGCATTACTATCCTCAGTTAACTGGTGATGAAATAGATGCTTAGAAGGTCCCGCAACATGCCCAAGGTTGGTTAACCATGGGGGACAGTGCAGAGATGTAAGCCCCCCAGAGATGTTAATCTCCCTTAAAATGCGCCCTCTCCTTCCGACACAAAGTCTGCAGCTGCACAACCCCTGATGGCTCGCTGAGGATCTTGCCTGCACTGGCCTGATCATCCAGCAGAGGGCAGTCCTGTACGCATAAGCAGGCCTGCCCCACCCACAGGCCTGGGACAGCTCTGGCAGCATCCCTGTTTCCAGGACATCACCCTGAACCCAGAGCCTCTGATTCCTTGCGAATGTTTGCCAAAAGCAGTTGTTCTCAAGCAGTGATTTCCACCAAAGCATCATTTGACAACATGTGGAGACCTTTTGGGTTTTTATAACTGGTGCATAGAAGGGAAGCATGCTGCGAGGCCGATGTCCGGTGCACAGTTCAGCCACCCACCCCCACCAGAGAACTGTGCGGTCCAAAATGCTGATTGGTGCATTGAGAAGTTGAATGATCCTGCCCTAAGTGAAAAACCCTTCTAAACTGACCCAGAGAAACAAATAGAAGATGATTTCAAAAAAGATGTTAAAAAACAAAAAGAAATAGCAGTCAAAAATAACTTCTGGGTTCACTTCTCTGGTTTTGAGGGCTGAGTGGATTTTGACTTATCATTTCAGCTGCTCACCTGCTGACTGTTGCCATCAGTGTGCTGAGCTGGGATGTATGTGAATTAGTGTCATGGGCCATGCAGGTCATCCGAAGGAGAGACTGTTCTCCCTTAGTGTCCAGGGCCTACTCATTAACCTCTTGTCTCTCTGAGGAAACTATCCCTCCTGCTCCGTGGGTACAAGGTGTAATCCAAACATACAGTGAAACTTTAATCTTTTAAATTCATTACAATAAAAGACACATTGCCATTAGTCTCCTTAAAATTCTCTCCCTTCAAATACCCTGATCCCGTCACTCTTATCACTTTCTGAAGCTGTTCTAGGGTCCTCTTTTGTCTCCTGAGTTGCACTGTCCTGGCTGCCTCAATGTCTTAAATGGATTCAAAACATTTACCTTTCATGGTCATTTTGACTTTGAGAAAGAGCCAAAAGTCACATGGTGCCAGATCCAATGAGTAAGGTGGATGACAACACATCATGATGCTGTTACAAACCTGCCTTTCCATTGAATGTCACTGGGCCGGAGCATTCGCCATATTTCTTATCATACCTCATAAAGATATGAAAGAGGCCTTTCAGAACTGCATCAGAAAGTGGCAAGAAAGGTAGAATAAATGTGTTCAAAGAAAAGGAGAGTGTTTTATAGGGGAGTTAATGGCAATGTGTCTTTCACTGTAGTAATTTTTTAAATTTAAACATTCTCTCT